AGTTTTGTAACAAAAACAAGGGAGTGGTTAATCTTACAGTCCAGAAACAGAAGACCCTAGGACCATCAAGGGAGAAGAGCAGAAGCAGAATGCGGGACCTTATCCAGAAAAGCAGCCACGCCAGAGACAGAGGCAGAGATGTGGACATGGAGAGAGGGAGCAGCTGAGGACTCTAGATTCAAAGGAAGAGAGGGATTAAGAGCTGGTGGCCAGGAGGCAGACTTGCAGAATGTGCCCTTTGGTGGTGTAAATTATTATACATACTTGAGTTTTTTTGTTTTTTAAAAAAAGAGCTCAAGTGAATAGAGAGAATACTGTTAAGTGATGGTACATGGAGGGGATTGTAATCATTGTTATAAAACAAGGTGAATGAGTTGTTGAATGTAAAACGGATGATCTCCCTTATGGACTTTCACTCAATCCACAATAAAAACCTTTAAAAATAAATAAATAAATAAAATAAGCAGACAAGCTTCAATTTCTGGTGCAGATACAGAAAAATAATATCTACTCCTATCTTAGAAAGCCAGGGAAGACTTGTTGGAGGTGATGATGCTAAAAAAAGGTTAGGTGACTGAGGGCTATTTTACCTGATAATGATGACGGACTCTTACTGATTTCCCATGCGTGGTAACAGACAATTCCACTACCCAGGTGGCAGTGTTATTTTGGATTCATAGCAGTATCAGATGGCCCTACCCAGGTTTCCAAAAAGCTAAGCCATTATAGATACATACACTAGGTTAGTACAATTAGAAGAAAAGCTCCATTGTGATTTCCTGAATTTAAAAAAAAAAGGTTCCAAAATTCTTCATCCAACTTGTTTCTGCCATAACTATTGGACTTTTACTATACTACCAGTTGGCTCAAAGAAGAGATTATCAGAGATATACTGAGGTCCTTCTTGGCAACTACTGCCCACCAAGGAAGTCATAAGAAGGAAAGTTGCCACTTAAAAAGGTCTTGATGCAAGTTTAGACTAAGTTCTCAAACCTTCCCTCAACCAAATTGTGCACATTCTTTTTAGGGAGATAGAAATCTGCCAAAAACAAATCCTTGGGCGAAATGAGAGGTTCCGGGAAAGAAAGAGATTTGTAATTTGATATAGACATCAAACATGCAACTGAAAATAACAGTGCAGTTAACTTTTTGAACATCTAAAAATAGCACATATGCTCTATCTTTCTAATAGTCTCCAGGATGGGGATTTCACTTGCATAGTTTGCTCTTCGTTGTAGCATGTTAGCTGTTTCATAAGACATATAACAATAGATAGTCTTTTTTCTACATCAAAGGACTTTAATAACTAAACCTCTAACAACTAGTGTGTTCGTATTATTATCCCTATTTTCTTGGTTGTAAAACTGAGGCAAAGGGTAAATGAGCTTGTCTGAGGCCAAAAATTCCTGTCTAAATGAAATAGAAAATTATCGGTTTCACAACTTTTAAATTAAGAGAAGGAATGAGACATGCAATGTAATATAGTTTATGCTTTAAACATAAACTACAGAACTCTATTATAAATTTAGTGTGCTTAAAGTTTCTTAAATATACTTTACTAACCTATTTTCCAAATACTTGCTAAAGAATAATCACATTTTGCTTCTAAAGCACAAAATTGACATAGATGGCTGATCACCTGACAGAGAAACAACTCTTAAGACAGATCAGGCTCAATGTTCAAGAAGCCAAGCAGTTTTGCTTTAAGTGCTGATTACAGACCACACTTTAACTTCACTAGGTTTCTTGCACATGTGGCACTAGACACAGGATAGAAAGTCATACTATAAGACTGAATTTAGTTTCTACTTAGATAAAAGATAACAGTAACAGCTGCACACTTGAGATAAGGATACTACATAATTTCTTGAGTCTGGTTAAAAGATTTGCTGGTTTAAAAATATTTTCTAAACGGAAGTATTTTGACTTCTACACATACTAAGAACCATTGAATTATACACTTTAAAACAGGCTTATAAATATATATACCTATCTAATCCTAGGAAACCCTATACAGGGACACAATGGGTCAGAATCGACTCGACGGCACTTCACAACAACAATCAGTGGTTCAAGCTCACCAGCCACTCCTTGGAAACCCTATACAGGGGCTGTGAGCCAGAACTGACTTGACAGCACTTAACAACAATAACTCTGTATACACGTACCCCACAGACTCTAAAAGGAAAAGAAAAAAATTTTTGGAGAATGTAAGATCAAATAAACCTGCTCTAGTGCCAAGGATCTACAGTTGGATTCTTGCTGTTAAGTGACATTGAGAATCCGATTATAAGAGTTACTAATGCTTATCTTTGAGAGGCAACATAATAGAGTAAAAAAAACATGGACATCTGAGATACACAAATACATCCTAGAACCCATGACTGGGTTCTGGTCCTGGCTCATCACCTAACCAGGTATGGGGTTTGGGGCAGGTAATTTAAGCTTTCTGAGTTTCAGACTTCATAACCGTGAAACAAAATAATACAATCTGCCTTGGAGTCCTGGTTTGCACTGTACGATAAGCACTGGACAGCTAACTGCAAAGTCAGGGGTTCAAACCCACCAGCAGCTCCTTCGAAACCCTATATTGGGCGCTATCAGTCAAAGCCATGGTATTTTCAATAAGTTGAACAATGACTAAGGAAGACTGCAGAAGAATCAATGCATTTGAGCTATGATGGTGGAGGAGAATATTAACAGTACCAATGGACTGCCAAAAGAACAAATCAATTTATGTTGGAAGGAGTACAACCAGAATGTTCCCTTGGAATCCAGGATGGCCAGATTTCATCTCTCACACTTCAGACATATTGTCAGGAGGGACCAGTCCCTGGAGAAGGATATCACTTGAAGCACTTTGGTAAAATGGAGGGTCGGAGAAATAGAGGAATGTCGGGGACCTGCCTCGACATAGGGGTTCGGTTCACGAGGAGGAGATACCTGACGGCGATAAAGATATAGCAAGAATACACAGAAAGAGACAAAGAGAGAGACAATGAGGC